TGTGGCTGATGGCCTTCGTAGCCCTACTTACCTCGAGGATACCCGCCTGGGGGGAGGGGGCTGAATGCAGGCTCGTGGCCTCTGCCCCCTCCTTAGGACCCCCAACCCCGATGCACCCCCTCTTTTGCCCTCGCTGCTCCAGCTCCCCACCCTCCGGCTGCAGCCACCATCTCGGCTTCGCTGCGCAGCAACTGCAAAGTGCAGCTCCCGGAGTGTCAGAGGAGAAATGCGCCGCCTCTCCCTCACACCCACAAATTCCCACGCCTCTCTAGGCGTCTCCCAGCTCGTTGGCTTTAACCGTAGCGGCTCGTGCCAGGAAGCTCCGCCCGTCTCCCTTCCCACCTTTCCGGCCCGGTGGGGAAGGGGCGCTTCCCACGTGATCCGCGGCGGCACGTGATCGCCCGCGCGAGGGAGGGAGAGTCTGCAGCAGGCGATGTTCTTCTTGAGCCCTGGCAAGCTGCAGGCAGGCATTCAACAGGAGTAGCGCACGTACCGTATTAAGTTGCAAAACTAGGAAGAGAGAGAGAGAGAGAGAAAGAGAGAGATTAAACTAACCAAGATGTTCTCTCCTAAATTTTGATCAATCACGTTTTGTCATGTTAATTTACCTTAGAGGACTGTTGTGCTGTTCAAATGGTTACAGAGAGACAATCTCCCCAAATCGAATGCTTTCCAGGTGTGTTAAATTATAGCTCCTATCATCCCTGGGCAAAAAAGCTGTTGGGCAATCTGGCTGTGACCGCTGGGAGCTGTAGTCCAGCACCTTTGGAGGACACCAACTGTGGAGCTACTTGGTATGAGCATTCATGCACTTCACTCACTATAGAAAATGACAGTGTGAACTCCTGTTTTTGCTCCGTAGGCCCCAGCAAATGCAGAGGAAAAGAATAATAAAAGCCAATTCCAGAATCTGTAACCTCTGAATTTCTGAAAAAGTTTAATGACAAGAGAGCTGAGAAGCTTAAAGAACAAAGGGCAACATATGGAAGCAAAGATGGTTTGCAGCAATAAGAGAAGAATTGTGAACAATATTGGTGTAAACTCAGTTAAGCTTTTTTCCTTTTCTTCTTCTGATTTCATACCTCTTACTATTCCTTGCCTCTTTTCTGTACTTCGCATAATGTTGCCTTACCCAAAAGAAAGTAGTGTGATGGGTAATCAAATCTACAGTCCTGGGATTCCAGAGTGGTCTCCTGTCCCAGCATTAACCAGGGAGCAGATAAGATCAGCTAGATCTGTTTATTAAAACCTGCTTTCCTGAAGTCCAAGATACTGTCAGGATTTTCTTTCTCATGGGAAAGGATTCATCCCATTATCTTTATAACAATAACAAATAATATTTTGGCTACAGAGATCATACTACTACAAATACTACTACTACTACTAATACTTTAATGACCAAGTATAAAATATACACAAGGAATTTGTCTTCAGTGACGAACAGCAAGATCAATGGTGCGTTTGGATAGCAACAAAAATTAATAAACAGTAACA